TTTTTTTTTTTTTTTTTGGGGGGGGGGGGGGGTAAATTTAGGGACAATGGCCTATGACGCGTATGTGGACGGTCAAAGATTTGTGGAATTCTAGTGTGCCCATTGGGATCAGACGAGTGCGAAACACTCACAATTACCAAATCCCGGTGACGATGTCTCCCAACTATGAAGATCTCCAACTCATCTTGAACGACATTCCTTCGCATGGAGTGAAACTTTTGAAACTCACAGAGCAAGTTCGTATTCTCAAATCTACCTTTTCACTTCCCGCCATGTTTCCCCCCCTTACCCGCTAACCTATCTCCATCGCCCTCTCGAAACTCATCTTAGAAATCATCCTGATCGTTCTTCTTCCGGCCCCTCGACTACCTCCCCATCTCTTTCCCATCTGTTCATGTATACCCTCGTTTTAAGCTGCCTCGTTTACATCCTCCCAATCTGCTTGCTCGTTTAACTATGCTTCAGCCTCAAACCTAGCTCAACTTTGAGACATCAGCCAAATGCAAAAAAAAAAGAAAGAAAACTGTAGATTCAGATTTGGTCAATATTTTTGTCTCATCATGATCAACTGTTTGCAACGCTTGAAGTGCTCGTTTGTGTCTCTCTTGATAATCTGTGGCCTGTATACCAAGAGGTGTAAGTAATGTTGATCATGGTGCCTAACAGTCAGCAATGAAATCACCCGATAAACATCTCAGACATTTTCATGATTGTGTAATTCTCAAGCTCTCGCGCCGTTGTTTCTGGTGATTAACATGACCCAGATGTCGACTGCAATTTTGCATGGCCATGTCCAGCAAACTCGAGCAGAGAGGTGGTCCTCAGCCCCGACGGTCGTGGGACGCAAGAGTGGCGGACGCGGATGCTCTCCCATGTAATCCGAGTGATTGGATGTCCCCCGGGAAGAGGCATCCACACTTGTAATGACACCGATGCGAATCGATATCGAACCCGCGTCATGGGTGATATGGCTATATATAATTTATTGGCGCTTGCAGGGTACATGCACTGTTTGGCCTCAACTTCGAACGTCCCCCTCGCCTTTTACTAGGGAGACCCGGGGGTCAGGCAGCCAATGCATGCTTGCAATCTTTCGTAACCAGCCATGCCTGGGAATCGCAATCTTTTTTTGCTGTTTCTGGCCTGGATTGCAGGCTATGTGTGTGGGGTTTTGTAACGTCTTTTGAGGCAAAACTGTGTGCTTCTTCAGTGTTTCCTTCTTTTTGGTGTGTGCGGTCAATCATTTGGATCTTTGGGCATCTGGGACATCAGATGCCCTGCCAGTCCTTACAGGGGGAGGAAATGCATATTGTCTTTCCCAAAAAATATCTTGGACACTGGATACACATCTGCATGTCCATGATCCCATATTTTCTTTTTGTTTTTGTTCTTGCCAAAGAGTAGATTCCTTAGCCCAATGCCCATTGGAATCTTATTTGATGACCACATATCCTACTGCCGGTGTATCCTACATCATCCTCAATTCCTCCCTTTATTCCATCCACAGTCCACCCACTAGACAAGCCAGCCCCACCATCAATCCACAACCCCCATCCACCCCCTGCCAGTATCCAATCCATTGCTGTTGGACCAATCCAATGATCTGATCCATCCCAAGTGCTACGCCAACCATATATTGAACAGCTCTTGGGTCCAAAACATCCATTCCCAGCTTGATCACTCCATGAAATCATATGAGAGTGACGGATCCTTACAAGATAATGGTTCAGCTACAGGATGGACAATGTAAGCAATTTGATGCTTGTAATAAGCCAACCTACACCATGCCAAATTCCATGTCAAAACATGCCAGGTGACATGCAGTTATATTGTGTGTTACTCTGGCGCTATTCCTTTTGATTAAAGATATTATGTCACTGGTGTATTATTTAGTAAATTATATGTATATACACCTGATTCAAGCCCCCTTGTTTCTGGGGCTTTTTGACAATGGCTGGGCCTGAGCATTGAATCAGAAGTTGTGCAATTCATCCATGCTCCACCACTCAAACTTTCTGAGTGGTGGTTGATCAATGC